TTATGTAAAATGTCCCTACGAGAAAAGCAATCATAACTTCCCTACTTAATTAAGCTCACTTGTAAGCGGCCAAAGTCGGTGCATGCCTGTGGAGGAACGACTCACTCAGAGATTAGAGCGGAACATTTACCAAATAGCAGTGAAATTTGCCTTTTTATGGATAATCCTGACCCAATTTGGGTCAGAATCAGGAAAAAAGGCGTAGCAAGGCTATCTTCGTTCTCTGCTAGTGCTGAGAGTAAGAAAGTGTGTCACCATTTAGACAATTTATGACAAATACGTTTTCTTGACTGTTGTTTTCAGGTAGTCTCGTGCGTGACTTCAGTTACAGGAATAGCGCTTTGCTCTGAGATGCCGCCAACAAAGGCATGTATCGTCCGGGGTGCGGGATTGCAACTACACTCCAACGCTGCTAAATCTCGCGGATATTGACGTCGGAAATTCTAGCAATTTAAATTTGATCTCTAAACTCATGTATTGACTAAATAATCACCACTGGGGTATATTCATAGCATGATTAGCTCAGCGTACAATGTGAAAAAAGCTTACGGTGAAAAATTATATGCAGTTTAACACAAATATGTCAATAACATTGCAGTTTAAAAGGTTCTCAGTAATTGGACATGCGTTATTGCAGTGCGATCAAACCACGCAATACCAAACGACGTGTTAAATTTTTTCTGCCTTCCTTTGGTTTTTTGGAGAACACTTGCTGTGTGCATTTTTTTATTGTGGCGGCGATATTGCAATTTTAGTGTTGTTGGCCTATTTCTTTGTGGGTCAACCATCACTCAAAACCTTTATACACCCCAAATCCAAATTATTAGGCTGATGACGGTATCAACAAATCATCGCTGATATTATAATTTAAGTCCTCACGTGTCATTATTTGCCGCTATTTTTCGACGGATGCAAATCGTTCCTTAATTTGGTGCAGTTGCAGTTTAGGTTATTTTTTTATTGACTGCCTGATGCCTCCTGCCTGCTATAATCTTTAGTTGTTCAATAGCCTACCCCTCCTTTATAAATGAATGTGTCTTATTGTTAAAATAATGATACACTATCTTACCCACAATACCAGCAGAGCCCAGATGTATCGCTGAGACGAATTTTTTGCCGGGCCTAACTGAGTTAGGATGTGCTTCGCTATCAGGACAATGACCAGCTCATTTCTCTCAGTGTTCTACTATGGTACCTGCTACTACTGCTCGCAGTTGTACCAGTATTTGAGAGCGCCTAATGGTTCCTCGTGCTTCTCATTCTTCAGCCCACCTTCAAGGTAGCAGACAAATTAAATTATTATCATAAAACTGATGTAGACTGATTTATCTGATGTTACAAATATTGAGGATAAGAAAACCAAGTCATTATCATTGCATTAAAATTACATGGAATTTCATTAATTCCATGTAATTCCATTAATTAATTAATTCCATTTCATTAATTCCATAGACAGAAAAATGTGATTTGTGGATACGAAATGCGAACAACAAAAGTGAAATTGTGTTAAACAAAAGAATTGTGAAATTGTGTGAAAACAAAAGTGAAATAATGATGCAATCTTCCATTGTCAAGATTGCATCATTAAAAAGGAAAAGAAATTCATATTCTCCTTTCCTTTTTTTCTGAGCACCAACCTTGAAATTAATTGAAGTAGTTAGTTTACGTGTGCATAAAACATTACGAAGACTAATTAGACNTAAATACAAGTTGGATGAGCCGGCGCTGCACTTGAAAGATAATCTCCGAGGTTGAGAGATTGTTAATCAAATCTTCCTCCACGTTATCAGAGTAATTTGCCAAAAGAAGTTCCGTAAGAAAGAAGAACCAGTAGAAGTACTCATTTAACAATAAAAACCAGTTTTGAAGCTAGAAGGACATTTTTTTGCATTCATTTTATGAGTTAAATTAACTATCAGTAAATTTTTATTTCAATTCAAGTTTTAAGGGTAAAATCAGGCCCCAGTTTGCGATTCGTTATGATTTCATCGCAAAATGAAATTCAAGAGCTAGGTAATACCCATACAAGAAACATTGTGGACACTACTTGCATTTTACACTTTCAAGCCTGTAACGCGCAAGCAATTTTTCTAAAATCAATAAAGTAATTATGTTTCCACCAACAGGCAGTAAAGGAACAGTTTTTGTTAACCTTAAATAAATAGCGAAGCCCCGCCATTTCACTTTCATTATTTTTAATATTAGAATGAAACACAATAGGATGGAAGAAAGCTTTATTTCGGCTCGTACTGAAGTATTTTAGCGCGGAAACAATAGAAGATTGCCTAATGACAACAGGAAAAGATTACAATTTGAGGACGCAGAAACTTCTGCCTTCAATCATGATCAGTACCATTTAACGAATAAAATAAACCTTATAATGCCAGTATAACTACAATTTCATATCACCATTATTGACCTTATAGATTAATATATTGTCAGTAGAACAGTAAAATTTGCAAGAGCACACTGACTATGTGCTGTATTTACACAAATATACATATTCAGTGGCAACGAAATCACGTGGATAAGCCATCGCTGGCTTGACTAATCTAGATTACTTTATTTACCTATGGAAATGGGAAGAAACCTTCATATTGAAGTTTATTCAAACCTGACATACATATCGTCGGCTTAATTGCACAATTGAAAAATTTATAGTCTGGTTTAATACTCTAAAATCCTTAAATTCTCGTGTAATTAAATTAAAAGCTTCTATTACACAAGGGAGCAGAGACGCTGTTATGAACGCGGATGCACTGAAACTCATGTTACTGGCCATGTCTTATTTGGTGCGCCCATTTAGCGTTCACTTTAATTCGAGCAAACTATGCAGACAACTTTCCGAATCGTTTCCACTCTTTGCCCCTGTGTGAAGTTTTAGACTTTACATCCATGGTCACGCTGATGCACCGTCTTTGTCGTCCGTTGTCTCGGAGCACTCAACTAGCGGCTCGTTCTCGCAACCGTGGCCAACTGCATGTAACGCAAAACGTAACTAGCTGCCCATTTTAGCAAGCTGATGGTGCAACACCATCTTGCTTCTGGCTAGCTGATGCAAGAAGCTGTTGGCCTCTTGCTGACAATAGTGATGTAGATACAGACTATATGAGATTATGCTAAATAACATACCACTGTCGTCTCAATTGAAGCTGTTGAATCTTGAAGCTTCTCATGTATCTGAAATAAATTCTACCCTCAATCAGCTCCATGTCAAGCGTTTAACACCCTGCAAGACATCGAACAGCTTTGGTTCCGCCAAAGAATGAGATCCCTCTCGATTTTGACCTTTGAATTGGGTTTTTTCCACCTCCTTTCACTCACATAGCAACAATCGTGAAGAAGGCACTTTCCAAGTTAGCGGCATGCGTTGGTACCTGCCTATAATATACCTTTCACGTCTTTTATCCAATGATTACAACCCCAAGAGCCTCAGCCCGTGCCAGTAGTACAAATTTCAGGTTGATTTTTATATTCATACTGCTGGACAAGATTGATAAAATAATACTGAGCATCGTAACCTTGTTCTTCTTTCATACGCCAGAGACCTTGAGGCCCAGTTAATGATGCGACAGCCTGAGTGATGCCTAACATACAAGTTCCGTGACGGGAATGGAAAATGAAGCGTGGCAGCGTTTACGTAGCCGCCAAAAACCCACATTACTATGCACCGAAAAACTTTCTATATTAAAACGGGAGAAAATGTATTCCTATGCTTACGCAAGTAAATGCTACAACGATGGAAACGGCATATACCCATGACAATACATGAAATGACATTCTATGAAAATGCAAAGAATTGCATTCCCATGACAATGAACACTGTAACGGTGTTTGAATGACTTTGCAAAAATCAGTCTCATTCCCTTGACTGCGTGCAAATAATAATTCGCACTGAAAGCTACGTTGCTGTAAATATTACATTGGCAATGCCTCGTTACAATTCACGGAACAGTAATTTTACAATGACAGCTCACATGACAACAATGCTACAGCGACAGTACAGATAACAATTTCACCATCATAGCAGTAAGCATTAGTGCGAAATTGCAATGTCATTAAATGAAGCAATAATGTGCTTATAATATAGTCGTTCACAAGAACATCCACTTTAATATGTGTTGGATATTTAAAATAGCTCAAACTTTTTGCACTATCATTTTCCAAAAAACTCATCACTTCGACCCGAGTGATGGTAAATGTATTTTAAATTGCACAATGTTAAGCAAATGTTATTTATTCTAGCTGGCTCGTGTAAAAGAAAAATAATAAAATTTTGGAACCGCTTGAAATTCTACGATCCCGCGTTAGTTTTTGCAATCTTAGATAGCGAATAAAGATATCTTTGCAGGTTTTTAATACCGATCTATATTAATACGAACTAGACAAGTCTTTCAGAGATATGCCAACTACATATGAGTATGAAGAAATAATATATTGTACGGTTTAGTATGGTTGACACTTGAATCACTCAAGTTGATGATAATAATAGCATAATTTCCTAGTGTGCTAGGAAATTGTGCTGGACATTCATGTTAACACATCAAACGAGAATCCAGGTATTGCAGCAAATAACATTGTTCAAGAATGATGGACGAACTTATATTATATTTAAATAAAGTGTTTCAGAATTTATGACTGCATTAAAAAACAATCTGACTGCATTGAGAGTTGATCCAAATACATACGAATCCACATCTCTTAAAAGAGCATATTTTCAATCGATACGATCGGAATTTTAAACGAACCTTTACAAAAGTTTTTAATCTCATTCACATTTTTATTCATGAGCAATTTCAATGTCAATGGACAATTGTATATAGAGGCAGGAGTTAGTCCAGCCAATGCTGAAACAAATATCACTGGACAATGCTGAACGAAAGCACAATTCGCCAAAAAATGAATCGTAACTAAATTAAAACAATTGATTTTAAAATTTAATTACACTATATTTATTACCATTAAATCCATTAAATAATTTAGATTTAAAATGTACAGTTATGATACCATTTTAGTCATAAGGACTTGCATTGGCGTCCGACAGTGAGCTTCTCTCAGACTTGCACTCAGCAATGGGCGGTTTTCTTCCTAACACTAACGAGCGTCGAGAATTTGATGATTTATTGAACTTGAATTTCTGAACTCCCATGCGTGGACTTTTCAAGTCACAGTTGAAGTAGACCTGGCCTTCTGGAGACCTCGAGTGAGGCTCACATGTCATCATGGCTGGGATGGCCTCATCTTGTTTCACGTAGTAGGCACTGACTTCTGCGTTGTTTGAACATTGGAACGAAGTGTTATGACAGTCGCTCCTTCTGAAGTTACGAGGTCAGGAAATTGAATCTCTGCCACCAAGGCTTCTAAAGTCTCGAGCGTCCAACATCGCATGTTTGTTGGACTTCATGAGAAGAACTTCACTGGAGTTGCCGCGCGGCAAGATGGTCGCGATCGTCGAGTTAGAAGGTTGACGAACGAGAGGCGTCACCATCAGCGTGATGGATGCTCTCGGGTTGGTGTGGTTGCCACGTGATCCTTCAATCCTCTGAGACACAACTCTACCCGAGAGCTGATTTTCGTGAATGCAGCAGCAAAAGAGGTATTCGTTGTAGTATAAACGGAAGGTGCCGCTCACAAAATATAAAGCGAGCGGATTAATGCATGAGTTTATGAAAGACAAACAAAAACCAACGATCCGGAAAACATGCCAAAAAGTATTATAATCGTTCAAAGAGTCTGGGTTGAAGTAGAACCAAACTAAGAAGATGTGAATAGGGAGAAAGCAGATAGCAAAAATAAATACAAAACACAAGACGACCTTCGCCACTTTACGTCGCGTTTGCATTTGCTTTTGAATGCCTTTACCAGGCATACTGTGGGCCGACTTGATGAGGTGTCGTGACATGAGCAGGTAAAACGTGGCGATGGCGGAGAGCGGCAGAGCGTAATATACAAGCAGTTTAGTAATGACGTTAACTTTCGGGAAAAGGTAACCCATTGAAATGGGGTAGGGGGAGCACACCATGAAAGTTTCGTTTAGGTACGGAGGGTACTTGGGGAAGACGTCAACATTGGAAAAAACTGCCACTGGAGTTGCCAGCAGCACTGCCAGGACCCAGATGCTGAAGGCAGTCCACACCGTCACGCGACTTCCTGACTGGAATGAATAAACTCCATAATAATGTGAAAATGAGAAGTCATGCTAGTCGTTAGGTCACTTCTTGAAGTCAGTGTTTTCAAAATCTGCTCAGGGATTATAAAAAATATCTGCCAATGCTTTACTCTGATGGAAAAGTTGGTTGAAAGTCATGAATGATCTCGAACGTTGAAAATTGTAGAGATTAGCGAAACACTGTTCTCAGTATTTTAGTGCGCTTGATGTTCTACTATAACCCAAAATATCTGAGAGAATGAAAGCACTAACATTGATCTATCCAAGGGTTTAAAATGCCCGAAATCAGCACAATGCCATTCCATACCTTCGGCAGCGGCGAGACGATGGCCATGTATCTGTCGGCGCTGAGAGCCGTGAGGGTGAAGACGGTCACCCCCACCGACACCTCACGTACGAACTCGCTGAACTTGCAGATGACGGTGCCAAATGGCCAAGAATCCAGCACGTAGATGAACGAGACGAAGGGAACAGTGAAGAGCAGCACAAGAAGGTCGCCCAGGGCCAACGAGATGATGTACGTGTTGGGTACGCTCCGTAGACTTTTGTTGCGAGTGAACATGATCACTAGCGTTACGTTGCCTGTTAATAAAAACATCCGTTTGTATTATTTTGCTATAATTATGATACAACCTACTGCCTCACATTGCATGTACTGTCCTCACATAAATACTTAGACGAAAAATTGTTTAAAACCACTCGCTACGTTCAGTGAGAAATAATATTAAAGGGATGAAAAAAATGCCCGCGATCGTTGTCAATTCCATTTTGCGATTAAGCGATACAAATTGAAAATATTCTTGACAATCAAACCACTAAGACATATTTTTTGTAAACAGTTTACTCAACCCACCATTGATATATTTAAACAGAGGTTTAATTTTTTCATTTCTCTGATACAATTAAAATCTGTATTATAGGTAATTACTTCGGTGTTAATGTCAAAAGCCACACACCGAAAAGCCGATATTGAGTGGACACTAATTCTAACATTTTTTCAATATAATATTTACTTCAGGGATGGAGTCATGTGTATCGAGAGATCTTCACCAACGAAACTGCCAACGGAGATAATTTTTCTCGAACGAAGTTTAGAGAAATGTGGAGAACAGTTGTTGCTTATAATTTCAGACGTGACTCACCAATGATTCCGACGACGAAGATGATACCAAATATGATGGGGACGAGGAAGGCCTCAGGACGATGGTGGTACGGTTCGTCCAGGCCGAAGTCGTCGTAGATGTCGTAGTCACTATAGTGTTTGTCCGATTGGTTTACGACCAGCCGGTGGGTTGTTGGGGGCTCTTGCAGTGACATGTTGTGTCGTGAGAAACGGTACTCTACAGCCTACACACACATGTGCGTTCGCATGGCGCAACGTTTTTCCTACTTGTCAGGCAGGCTGGCTGTTCAGCGCCTACTAATTGCTGACTAGAAAATTCCTCAAATTCCTCAGCCTGCAACGACGAAGGGAGGCTTCGACATTCAGTACTCAGTACGTTCAGGGAGAGAAAATTAATTAAGAGAATTACCTAGACAGACGGCAGAAAGCTTTTGCATTCAATGCCCTGGAAGGTTATTATAAGTTCAATCGGTAAATTAGTAAAATAACGATTAATTATGCGCCGAATAAATATCCCTGAACGATTCTATTACAAAAATGGTGCTTATATGTAACAATACAACGCGGTATTACGTTTGACATGTAAAATTGATGTAAAAATGTAGCGGAAACGCTAAAAAACTTTATTAATTACACTCGCAGACTCGTGAACTTTTAAAATTATGCACCTTCACAGAATCCAAAATTCCTATAAAAAAACCTCAGAAATTGCACCGCCAAGGACTTGAATTTTTTTGTTCCCTTGATGAGTGTATACAAATAACCTCGTATCAATTTTCAAGCTTTACTCAGCCCACTTAGAGTAGCCAGTTATCATATCGTTGCCTACTTGATGTACCACGAGTTCTGTTTTATGCACTAACGCTCGGTCGGAATTCAAAACTGAAATTTTAATGTGTGAGCCAAGTACCTACAGACGAAGCCTGGCGGCTTCTTCCGCTATAAATGGAGGTACTCTTTCACCACGAGGCTCGATTAGCGTCAGATGAAGAATAGCATCTGCATACATCACCATAATTATGAGGCATCATTAGCAGCCTCGTCGCCGGGCCTCGGCTTCATGCAGCCATCTCACTTTCCTTCCGTGATGATGTTTTTGACACTCAGAAATTGGTGAACGTCATTCAAATGGTCACTTATAATTCAGTATTCGATGGAGGAATGGAAAGCTATGAAAGAAATTTGCAAAATTACATTTATTTATCAATTATTTTACCTAGTAAAAATGATGTATGATATTTTTGAGAACAGCATACCGTATAAATGGAAGAAACATGATGAGAGAACCATGAATAGTATTACTGAAACGGAATTTTTTATTGTGACTGGTTTTGTACAAGCCTAATTAAAAAATAAATTCAAAGTAATTCACGTTACCTAGTTCCATCATGCATCAAGGAATGCGACGATATATGCTTCTCCGTTCATAAGGCCTCTACTCATTTGAGAGGCCTTATGGTTTCGATGCTCAATGGAGTGAAGTCTTACACACATACTTGTACCACAATAACGTACCTGAGTCTTAGTACGCATTAATTTCGCGTTGTAAATGTCTTCGTCTCCCCAGATCTCCCGTCCAGTGTGTTCTCTTAAGAGATTCCAAGAGACAAATTACCGGGACAAAGCGTATTTCAAACGCTCCGAATTGTTGCAGCTCTTTGAGAAATTGTTGGCATCTTCTCGAGAAGCATTAGTAGAGGACGGATTCTAGCAAGGCCCACTGCAGAATTTAGCGTTAACTGAGTTTTCTTAATTACAAGTTATAGGAAATAAATTTTACGTGTGCGTTTTTTATTGACCTATCTTGATGAGCTAGGCAGCCAAGGTGTTCACCTAGCTGATGGTTCTCATTTGAAGGCTTAAATGAGTAAAAACACAGATCGGTTAATTGCATGAAGATTGCAATATGGCGACTCCATGCTGCCTGTTATAAAAATTTATTGTATTGGGACGAATTGATATTGGATAACATAATTTTAATTGGAATTCTCGAGGTATCAACAAAAACCTCTTGATTCTCGATCATTTGATAAACTATACAGCTAATTTAATACTAGAAATCCTAGTATTGTATTATATTTGAATTTCTGGAGGCTTGTCGTTGAAAAATTGTATTGCTTAATTAGCAAGACTGGAGCTGGAACGCTAACGATCTCATCGCCAGCGTGCTGCCGAGGCTAATAGTTGACATTAATTTCACGGACAGAATTCATGAAGGGCCGAGATGCGAGTAGAATTTTTCCACAGCTTACAAATTGTGAAGACATCGGAGATTTAACACCATGTACATCCCAAGACATGGGCTCTGGCGAAGCATCCATTATTTAAACTGAATTTTAAAGAATCCACTTTCATAGAAATTGCCATGCATGTTGCAAATCGCAAAGAACGATAAAATTTTCAGCTACTGAATATCTGTTGATAAAACAACACTAAAATGCTTCAAACCTCTCTAAATTATTTCCGTTACAATCTACTGCTAATTCACAATACACGATATCTGAGCAAAGATCGAAGATCTCGCCGTTCTGCAAATCTTTTTTGCACTGCAAAGCCATCTAGCTGGACAGGAATGTTAATAGTCATAAAATTAATGTTGCTCAGAAACTTGAGCAATGTTGCGCCTATAGAGAAAATCCTCCAGAATATGTCTGTTCGTAGTCATCCACGTACAGTCGTGTTACCTACAAGGTAACGCAGCACTTATTAGCGCATTTTCTCATTTATGGAAAAAATGCACTATTGTGCTCGCCATGTCGGTCCGTCCGTCCGTCTGTCTGTCTGTCCGTCTGTCCGTGACCTCAAGTTTTCGTCGACGAGAAAATGAGCTCTCTGTCTCTCACTGCAGGGAGTACTGAGTTATATTTTTAAATTATTTAGTCGATAAATGAGGTTATTATACAGTAGGTATGCTGTGCAAAGGCCTCATAAATCGAGCTGGAAGGAAGGGCTTCTGCGTTTCATCCAGATGTATGGCGGGTCTCAGCGATGAACTGCTTAATATGTGGCAGTTCCAGGTTATTTCTTATTCCCAATCTCATCGCTAGATTAAATCAGGTGTACACTTTCGTACGGATCGAGTAAAGGTTTTGTTTCAGGAGCTAATTAACTTTCATCAAATTATCGAAAGTTTTTCTAATTTCAATACATGAAGATTATGAAGATTATAATGTTCGGATAATGTACATTCGATTTGCTTGCGCTACATTAGATTTGATCGATCATAAATAACAGTTCCGTTCCAATTATTTATATTTGTTAAATGACGTTTTAGTATGGAAGTACTATTTTATGGGACTTTTTATTAGTGGGCGTCTCTAACAATGCAGAACACGTTTATAAATGGTCAGCAAGTATTCAATTAAAATACTGGTTTCAAAACGCTTTATTACGCATTTTTTGCAACAATGCATTCATTGCGTCACCTAACTGGGCCGATCGCTATCTTAAATGTAACTTGAGTTCAACTTGAAACCACGATATATCAAATACAACACAGACGAAGCGTTTAACCTCATCGCTAAAAGTTAATTATGGTGATGCTGTATCGACAACGCTTAATAATTTAAATTTATTCATAAGTAATTGCAGGTTGTTCCTGCGCGAAAACGCAAACCTTGCTTTAAACTCTCTTAAAAGGCGCATTTTCTCATTTATGGAAAAAAATGTAACTCAGTATTCACTGCAGTGAGTGACAGAGAGCGCATTTTCTCGTCGACGAAAACGTGAAGTCACGGACAGACGGACGGACATGACGAGCACAATAGCGCCATTTTTCATAAATGAGAAAATGCGCTAAAAATGCGCTATTGTGCTCATCATGTCCGTCCGTCCGTCCGTGACTTCACGGACGGACGGACGAGAAAATGCGCTCTCTGTCACTCACTGCAGTGAGCACTGATCTAGCCTTAAATTTAATTATAGGTTCCAGGCTTTGTTTTGAACACCGGGAACGAATAATTGGAGGTATCAAATTGGCAAAAATTCTTTATTTTCGATCGCACTTGTCTTGTTCAATAAATACGAGTTCGGCAGACAGAGCTCGTTACTGGTGCATTTTCGAAAGCGAACCACTTTTATCTTCAAACAACTAATCCATGGATTGATTTTCAAACAAATTTTTTATGTAATCAAATACGCATTGCAGGCATATACACTGGATTACTGTGAATCTGATTATTCAATCTTCAGTGAATTATAAATTACCATATACTAACGAACATCACGTGTTTAAATTTTACAACGGAATTTTGACTGAAAAAAAAAATAAATTTATTTATTGGCGATTTAGCCACGTTCGCATTCGTATTCTAACGATCTTGCGGAATAATTTTCAATTATTGCCATGCATGGATCAACGAAGCTAAAAATTTCGGGTCAGTAGCTCTCGTTCTCATCGAGAAAATAATATTTCTGAGAACTTGGAAGCGAATGAAATCGGATGGAAAGAATTCCCAGGCAAAGCCGGCAGTGGATTTCGTCTGACGCGGACAATGTGGTCATCGACGCTGAAAATCGACCGGAAAATGGCCTTAGCGTTACGATTGTTGCTGAAATTCAAGCCAACGGTGCGCTAGAGTTCGTAGCACTAGCGAGTGACGACAGCAATCCAAAATAGCTTCGAGACAGAGGAATGGAAACAATATTAATGCTTCGAATTTAAAAATATTAATAGTAAATGGCATCTCAAACGCTCAATTCCAAATCTTGGCTTGTGTTAGAGAGCAGACTTGATGGCCGGAAACGAGCGACCGCATTTTCAGTTTGATATTAATTTAAAATAATACCTAGCTTTCCTTTATTATCGCAGTTCAATAATATTATTTTCTGAAATTGAAAGCAAAATTAAGTAAAGCGTGGTTTCTAAGTCAAGAACAACCAACGAATTAATCAATGGCAATGCTAAGTCAAACTTTTTTTCCTGAAAAATATCGTGCAAATCTGAGCAGTCGATACAGAAAACGTCAGAAAATGATCTCAAATAATTTTTCAAAAGCAAATGCCAGTGTTAAGTGCGTCCAAAAGATCAGGCTATTGCGCCTTAAAAGTCGGAATGTTTGGGCAATTATTATAAATTATTTGATTAGCTGCTGAGATTCTCCGCAGTTTTTATTCCATCTCTGTTTTTTATTAAATATATTTTTTTATGTTTCATCTCATTTTTTTATTCCATCTCAATTGTTCATTTCTACTG